GAATATTTGTTTGACCACCAAACAGAACACATGCAAATTTTCAGATTTTTAGATTCAAAATTACTTTTGCCAAGTTAAGGGTTAAGGTAAGAAATATATAGGTATTATATATTTTTTATTATTTCCATAGCCATAGAAGAAAAATAAAAAGATGATAATTTAGATTTCATATTTTTAAAATAGAAATTATCATCTTTTTCAATTAGTTCGATGTATGGAGATTGAAGGGGGACCACACTACAAAATAACAATATTTTTTTCCTGTTATATGTAGTATCTGATAATGATAATCATGATTTTTTTTAAGCTCAAATTCTCCTCTGACTTCATTAAATAAAAGGAAAGTAACTTTTTTATTTTTTACGGCATCTTCTAATGTTTTAAAACATGAGGATATTTAATCTCCAAAATAGAATCTGGATCATTCTCGATTATACCGTCAGGACTTGCATCCAAAAAATATTCATTTTCCTTTCCAATAAAGAAGCCACAACTACCAACATTATAACCCGTTATGTCCTCGAAATCTTGAATGGCTACTGGTTCATGCTCTTGTCCGTAACGTGTTGCCTCATTACCCTTAAAAGTAGTGAATAAAATGTTTTTAACTAATTTTTCGGGATTTGTTGATTCTTTCATTTTACAAACACGCCCAAAATTGGAAGCAGTAATTCGGAAAGCTCTCTCCTGCTTCCACAGTGGATTTGAACTCTGGCCTCTAGTGTTAATTTCTATTTCTTGAATTTCGATTTTAGATTTTAGCAATAAATCTACTAGTTTTTGTTTTCGATGTAAAACTTCTTCCTCCGTAAGATTTTCCACGATTTTTCCATAGTGTTTGTCAGCTTTGGCACCTTTTATTTATTTTTTTTTTTTTTTCGAAAAACTTTCTTAACTCTTTTTTGAGAAACGCTTTTCAATTTTCGTCGTATAGTAAAACGATAATTCATACTTTTTGGTATTTCTTCTAAGTATTGAAATTTAGAATTATATGAAATAGCCGCCAACTGACAGCGCGTTTCGTAAGATCTTCTAGTGGAAAAATTGATCTGAAAAATAATGAATATTTTGTTTACTTTTAAAACATTAGAATATTTTTATATCTTTATATTTAGTATTTATCCTTAAAATTCAAAGTTTATAGGTATTTATTTTAAAAAACAATTACTGACTTTTTCAACCAAATATTTAGAATGCTCATTTCTACCAACAAAAATAATAAAATTGTTTTTAGAAAATGGCGAAATAGGTATCCAGACAGAAATTATTGAAAAAGTTTAGTTAGTAGTAGTATGCACGTATTACAAAATAAATTTTCCATACATATACCCTTACCCCATACCCTTTTACCGCCGACAAATTTATTGACAACACTATTGAAACACTCTGCTGCGTTTGTGGTTTTGTTCAGCAGGAACGAAGAAGTGTTGTTAACTATTCCACTCATTATGTTTACAATATCTTGTTTCATACCGCAGGCTGCTAATTCTGGGACTAGGTTCTATTGATTTGTATCGCCTTTGCAAAAATAGTTAGCACATGCTTTTAGTGATGTGGGCCGGGTAAATACCCAGCGGGAAGGGTATTTATAAATTGGGTATTTACCCAATGCCATTATAAATACCCAAAACGAGGGTATTTATAGTTTGCAGTGTAAAAACAAAAAGTATTAGATTTGCCAGACTAAATGTCGTTCGATAGTACTAGAAAAAGTACAATTGTACTAGATATAACCTCACTATCTACCATCTACCAATCTACCACTACCACAAGGATGATAAACTAAAGAGAAGGTTGGGCCACTTCCATCTTCCATAAGAAGCAATATTAACCTATTTAATGTTTTATGTCGTCACGAAATACTTCTGTCACTTTTACAATAATCTTACATCGTTTATTGAGTGTTGTTTACTTATTTTTCATAGTGTTTTGCTGCTGGTACGTTACGTAAAACTATATTTGTACTTATTTTATTGTTTATTGCACTGGCTGAGTTTTCCTTTTGTTAGTATATTGTTTACGTAAGTTTGTTTACGTAAGATTGAGGGTCAGCAGTATTTCATGACGTCATTGACAGTCTGACATATCTATATAAGTGGCCCATCCTCTCTTTAGTTTATAATCCTTGCCACTACCATACAATCCATAACCTAACTTTTAGTTGGAGTTTTAGTCTCTGGCAACGGTTATTTATCTTTTAACCCTCTATGGCCCCAAGTTACTTTGAGGAAACATACACTATTATTATTAATACCGTACTTAAAATTTCTGTTTTTTACTTTAATATCCCATAATTACTTCAAAGTAACATAGTTCTATCCTACTGAAATGTAATATGGTGCCATCTATATGTTATTTGTAAAATTACACGAGAATAATTTTAATGGCGCCAACTTATTGTTGATAGTGATTGACTTGTGAGTTTTGGACATTGAATATCTATTTATTCTTTATCAAATTGGTTCGAAAAAATTATATTACGGGAATTTGTATTTGCGAGCAGACAAGTATTCAAGAATACTTTAAAAACTTTTGTATTTAGTTTATAAAACGGTTGAATTAGGTATGTTACTTTGATGATACATTGGGCTATAAAAGTTTTCATAAATTATTTGATTTCAAATTACAGTATGGATCCAATAAAGTTTTATGGACTGAAATCAAAGAAAAAATACCCAAAAATTTTTACTAAAGTTGTCGATTTTGGGAATAATTCAGATGATTCCAAATTGAGTGATAGTAGCGAAGAAGATGATGAAATTTTAAAATATAAAGATCAATCTTTTGATGAAGAAAATCCATGCTGTTCTAAGAATATATCTGGACCAATGGAAGAGCTGATAAGTGAGTATGAAATGAGTAATAATAGTAGTAGCCACGAAGAAGAGATTTTTGAGAAGAAAAATATGAAAACTGTTCCAAAGAAATCTAAAAATAAGAAAACGGTTTTGAAAAAAACTGAAAAAAAAACAAGCGGTTCCATATCTGAACCAATGGAGGAGATGAGTGATGAGTATGAAATAAGTAGTAACCGTAGTAGCAGCGAAGAAGAAATTTTTGACAAAAAATATAGGAAAACTGTTTCAAAGAAATCTAAAAATAAGACAATTGTTTCGAAAAAATCTGAAAAAAAATGGATACACCAAAATCAAAAACTAAAGTAGCGTTAGATTGGAAACTGGTAACAACAAAAACAATACGTCCAATTGTAATTTGGAAGGGAAGTTTGCCGGATGCTCCTGAGCCAGAGACTCCGTTACAGTACTTTAGAAAATTTGTTGATTCAGATTTATTAGATCACATTGTAGCGCAAAGCAATTTGTTTGCTTGCCAAACCGATCCCAATAAACCTCTCTTTTTGACTAGCGAATCATTGGAACAATTTATAGGAATAACATTTATAATGTCGATATATGGTTTACCTAGAACAAGAATGTTCTGGCAAACTGAGACGCAGGTTCCTAAAATTGTAAATACTATGTCACGAAATAGATGGGAACAAATAAAATCCAACATTCATTTTAATGATAACACCAAGGCTGCTACTACTAATGATAAACTCTTCAAGATACGACCCCTACTTGACAAATTAGTTGCAAAATTTAATAAAATTCCTATGACTGAAAAACTCTGTGTAGATGAGCAGATGATTCCTTTCAAAGGAAAGCATAGTTTGAAACAATATATGAAAAACAAGCCACAAAAATGGGGCTACAAAGCCTTTGTGTTGTGTGGATCAGACGGTGTAATTTATAACTGGGAATTATATTCTGGTTCAGTAGATTTAGATCCCACCCTTACAGACGTAGGCGTTAGCGGAAATGTTGTCATGAGACTTTCAAAAATTGTTCCTAGAAACTACTATTTTAAAATTTACTTCGATAATTGGTTTAATAGCCCAAAATTATAAGTCGAATTATTCAAGCTGGGTATTCTCAGTCTGGGAACGGTAAGGTCAGATCGTCTAGGGGGATGTAATTTTACTACAGATAAAGAAATGGCAAAAAAAGGAAGAGGAAGCTTGGAAGAACGAAAAACAAAAATGGATGGGGTTGATTTAACAGCAGTGAAATGGTATGATAATAAATCGGTTCATTTACTGAGTACTTTCGTTGGTTCTAATCCAGTTAGAGAGGTAAAACGTTGGGATAAAAAAGCAGTTTCAAAAATTGATGTGTCATGTCCCAAAGCAGTAGAACTATACAATCAATTCATGGGAGGCGTCGATTTAGTTGACTCACTTATAGCTCTATATAGAACTACAATAAGAAGTAAAAAATGGTACCATAAAATTTACTTTCATCTTATGGACTTATGCGTCGTAAATTCATGGCTGCTGTATAAAAGAGATTGCAAGACAATAGATTTTCCAAAAACAAAGCAACTAAGTCTGTTACAATTTAAAACAGATTTAGCTCACAGTCTTTGTGCTGCAGGAAAGGATACAACAAACAGCCGTAAACGGGGTCGCCCAAGCAACTCATCAGTTGAACAAGAAATTGAAATTAAAAAAACATAAAGGAAAAGTTGCTGAAATGCCTACAGAAGACGTCAGAAGAGACAATATATCACACTGGCCTACTTTCAGCGATAAACGGGGAAGATGCAAACATCCTGAATGTCATGGAATTCCCAAAGTGATGTGCATCAAATGCAATCACTATTTATGCTTTACTCCTACATCAAATGTTTTGTCAACTTTCATACTCAGTGAGGTCCACTGTTACACTCAAGTAACATACCCTTAAGAACATGACAGGGTAATTTTTTTTCACATGTTATATGTCAGTATTAATTAATAAATCCTTTTTGAAGCAGAACTTTAAGTATTAATTTTTTATTTTAACTTACAATAAATTGGGCCATAGAGGGTTAACAGCTTTTAACAGAATAATGGTTAAGAAAAAAGGTGCAACTTGGCAGTTTTTCAAGGAGAAAGGCAAAGTGGTGTTGTGTGTAAATACTGTAATCTTGAATACAAACATTCAAATGTTAATAAAATGACGAAACACATAAAGAAGTGCTTTAAGTGTCCTGAAGAAATGAAAAAAAATCTTTATTTAGTGCCAACCACTGTATCTACTAAAGTAGACCTATCAATGCACACGTCCACCCCAAAGGAAAAACTAAATTTCTCCCAACGGCTAAAGGAGTTAGAAGTAGATGTATCTTTTGGGATAGAAGAAGCAAATCTAGCAGGGCCAAGTTCAAGTAGAAGCCAAACTTTTCCAGTTGTATCTTTATCTGAAACTGAAAGCAGTGCCACTGCCACTAATGCTAGTACCAGTAATATATCTGCAAATAGTGCTTGTTCCACATTTAACTTTAATCGACCTCAACCGTCACCTTTCATCGTGAATAACAACAGAGGAGGCCTGTTAACTTTTGTGGACCATATGGATAATCAGTTAAATGTAAGTATAGAAAGTATAGACTACAAACAGTATTAGACAGTATCAAATGTTTCAATAGGTATTTAATATCATATTAATACCAAACATGTATTTTTTTCAGGAAAGCCTCAATCAAAGTTTGGCCAAAGCAATTTTTGTAAGCGGTACTCCATTGTCTATGGTTGAACACCCACTGTGGTTAGAATTCTTTAAACGACTTCGTCCTTCATTCAAACCACCATCAAGGTATCGCCTTTCATCAACTTATCTCAAAGCTCAGTATACAGAAATGCAAAATGAAGTTACAAGCCAGCTAAAGGATTCAAAACACTTACATTTACAATGTGATGGCTGGAGCAACATCAGAAATGTGTCTATTGTAAACTTTGTTATTTCAAAACCCGAGCCACTGTGTGTGGAGTCCGTCGCAACAAAAGAGAACAGGCACAAAGCATCTTACCTAGCCGAGCTGATAATCAATATTATTGAAAAATATGGTACTGAAAAGTTTTTGGTAATCATTGGGGACAATGCTTCCAACATGAGAGCTGCTTTGGCAAAGGAGAAGTATCCATCAATCATACCTCTTGGTTGCCTTGCTCATCTCTTACACCTTCTGTGTGAAGACATCTTAAAGTGCAATACTATTAAATCTTTTATGGCAACAGTTACTAGCATAGTAAAAACTATCAAGAACAGCCATGTCCTAAAAGCACTATTTGACAGGTTTCAATTGGAAAAGTAAAAGGACAAGAGTTTCTTTGAAACTGCCTGGTCAAACAAGATGGGGAAGCAACTTGTTTTGTTTACAGAGTTTATTATCAAATAAATCTGTGCTTCAAAAACTATCTGTCAGTGAAGAAGCAGAAATCTCATCAGAAATGAAAAGACAGATACTTGATGACGGTGTGTTTTGGGTCAGAGTTGAAAAAATGGTTAACATATTAAATCCAATTGTTGATCTTATCACTGCCCTTGAATCAAACACCCCCCTGATTTACAATGTTTATACAAAATTTCACACTCTGCAAGAAACCCTTAAACAAGAAATGCCAGAATCTCCACTTCAAAAGATTGAGGAAAAAATGTGCTTTCAAAGTTAGAAAAACGTATTCAATTTGGGGTGGGACAAATTCACCTGGCTGCTGACTTATTAAATCCCTCATCTCAAGGTTGTAACTTGAAGTCTGAGGAATTACTTGATGCTATTAGTTTTGTTTGTGAAATTGGCAGTAGCATGGGAATAAATACAGTTGATATCCGTCAAAATATAGCTGACTATAGGGATAAAGAAGGGCTATGGCGAAGGTCTTTTATTTGGGAAGGTGTAAAAGATTCACGAAATGAAAAAGCAATCAGTCCCATGTTATGGTGGAGGGGGTTAAGAGGAACATGTGTATTGGCTGATGTAGCTGTGAGAATATTAGGAGCACCTGTGACATCTGCCGCAACTGAAAGAACTTTTAGTACTTTCAGTTGGATTCACTGTAAAAAAAGAAACAGACTCACCACCGAAAGAGCTGGACAAATAGCATATTTATCGCACAATTGGAATCTTCTAAACAACGCCAAAAAGCTACGAACTGTAGAAAGAAGCCAAGCAGATGATTCGACTTTGACAAAAAGCCAAAGTGAAGAATTTATGCAAATATCCAATGGTAGCGGTGATTGTAGTGACGTCAGTGACGATGAAGATGGCCACATGTCACTTTCGAGCCACTCCAGTGACCAAATAAATTCTGAGCCAGAATATTCAGACTTAGATTAAGTAATCATATAGTACTGATTTAATTTTTTTAATTACAAAATAAATTTTAACAGAATTTTACATGGTTTAACTTACTACGAGCCGTTATTCGGTTATTCGCTTTAAATTCATAAATACCCGGGTATTTATGAATTTTGGGTATTTACCCGGGTATTTATCCTGGGTAATTACCCCTAGTTATAAATACCTGGGTATTTCACATCACTACATGCTTTATAGCATCCAAATTCGTGATCAATGCTGTTGAGTGCATCTTTTCGAAAATTTAATAATTTTTGGGTGTAAGTTAAATTTGAATTTCGGTGATATTCTGCAGATTTTTTAATTACTGTTCTAAATTTAAGTACACTGTTTTCAACTTTTCTCCTTAACGGCAAGGGAACCAAAATATTTGTAGACCTACTCCGTCTTTGCTTACTAATGTCTTTTAATTTATTACAAAAATTACGGAGTAAGTGGTTTACACATTCAAATTTCTCCACAAGTTGCGTACCGTAGGGCTTCATTTCTAATAATTTTTGTGTTAGACTACTGTCGCCGTCTCCAACTACTTTAATGTATTTGAGTCCGTGCATTTCTATACTATTTTGGAAACCTTCTAAGAGTATTGCACTTTCCATTGCAGTAGAGGAATGTCCCCAGTTCTTGGCACATGAATGCTTGGGAATCGGTTTTTCTTTATTTTCATATCTTACACAAGTTATGCAAAACTTATTTTTAATGCCAATATATAAATTTTTTCTAGTTGCTTCACCTATTATAACGGCAACTCCAGAAAGGGCATTATAATTTGTCTTATATGACCTCTTACTCCATGCGCCATCTACTATTACATTAATGCATGGAAACCCGTCTTTGTCAACTTCCCCTTTTTCTTTTGCAATTTTAACTTCCTCTTCGCCTGCAAGTTTCATTTGCCTCAGTGATGTACATTCAATTGTTTTGGCTAGACTATCTTGTTTTTTTAAGTATTGGACTTGGCTTATTGGAGGAATATCTAAAATAGCTGATATTTCCTCTAATTGGGAATAACCGCAACCAGCTGAAGTTGCACCTATAAAATAATGTCTTATGTAGGTATAAATTATTAGCTATCAATTTTATAAGCCGTAAAAGACATTTAAATTGTATTATTGATTTCAAACCACTGAACCAAACATTTATTTATAATCGGTTTTTAATTTCAACGAAATAATTTTAAAAATCTGATAAGCCCAACACATGACTTTCCTATCTAGTTATTGCAGGCTTTTTCCGGTTATTTTGTACAATCTATTGTACCACCCCTGTAAATGTTTAGAGGATGAACTAAATACATATATTTTTTTTACACACATCTACTCGAAATATTTATTGTTTTTTTTTTTTTTTTTTTCGTTTTTATACAGAAATTCGAAATTTGCAGTTTTCCTCAAATATCTAGAATACGTTCCATTTTAGGTAAATCAAGTAGTAAACAAAAATTATGGAGAATAGCATCATAAGCAAATTTTATTTGATCAAGTCAACTATTGCACTTTTTGTCAAATTTCTAGAATACGGACTATTTAAGAAAAATTATGTATGACACAAAAATGATATTGCAAACAACTATAACGGGGTTTGTTTACTATAACTCAAAAATCGGTGTTAGTTGGTAACCTCCTAAATTTTGTATATTATTATTTAGAATTTAGAAAAACCGTTAAAAAAAAAAAGGTTATAGTGTTCTCCTAGAGCTTAGAGAAGAAGACCACTTCGGCTAGCTGTCGGGACAAAAGGTGTGGGTCATTAAATAGTTAGCAATACTGTTTATCTTAAAAGTTAAATAAATAAAACGCCTGAGTCGGTATTATGGCATTTACTATTAAAAAGAATACGGGTATTTACAAAATTTCATAGATCAAATAGATAGGTATACATTTACCTAGAGCTTTTTTATGATACAAAATGATTTAAAATGACAAGAAAAATGACTAAAGTTAAAGAGAAATTCTCTGAATTCAAAATTATTAGAGTAAAAGACACAATTAATATTACCCCGTGATCACTAAGGTTTACAACAGGTTAAGTTTAAGCACAATTAATACGATTAAAGAATTATTCTTATAAATAAAAGTTAAATGATAAATCAAAATATAAATTTATTAGATTCACTGAAGTTATTACTTATTAGACTGAAGGTCTTTCATACCTTGATTTACAGACTTTCAGATACCTGATTTCTGGTAGAAACCCATTAAGCGATGGAATTCTCCACCACTGGTGTTGGTTACGATTACCCCGGACAGGAAACTGGCTTAGAACTTGTAGGACTGCAGGACATCAAATGATTAAAAACTGGACTACGTAACAATCACAGCGCATCACCCTGATGCGTCTGGAATTTTCCGGAACACTGGTACAGCACAGCGACTGCGGACGAAATCAAACGAGGTCGTTGGCAACAACCCTCTGGAGATCTGATTTAGGAAGTCGGTAGTGCGGGCCGTTAGCAGACTTCGCTCACCGCGGTCGTAAGACTCCCAAAAATGGTTTAGGGTACCTACCCTTGTGCGATTTTGCCACGTGATTTGTAATCCGATCACTATCGGCGACGAACGTTTCGGTATTATACACGGGCTTCGCGACGACCCAGGCGAACAGTCAAACTCAAACACGTACCCCCGGTACCTTACCCAGCAAGCAGACGAAAAATAATTCACCACGAACCTCATGGCTACGGCGTATTTAACCCCTTTTTCTGAAGTCAAGATGGCTTCAACAAGTAGGATATGACAATGCATATTTTGGAAATCACACTTCCGGTGATCGCCACGAGTTACCAGAAAACTTATCTAAAGTAATATAATTCGACCCCAAATGTATTTATGTGTGTATTTAACATCCTAATAAAATATTATTCCTAACTATAGTTAAGTATTAAACCCAATTTTCCTAGAAAAGTACCCTAATATAATATGCCGTCATGGACAATCAAATGTATTGATTTCAAATAGCACAACACCAAATATCCCATTAATGTTATCTGTCAAATTCGTACTACGGAACAAGAATTGGCTATCGGACCGTACAAACTAGACGACAGGTATTTCCTAGAAAGAAGAAGATAACCCGAATTTCGGATATAATAATTAATGTCAAAACATTATTGAAATAAAATGTAAACAAACGTAAAATACAACTAAATAGTGATTTAAAAGGGGTGAAAACTAAGTGAAATAACTACCACATACTAGCAGCATACTCACAGGTCATTATGCTACACGTTTTCTGCTCATAAAACCATCAGGATCTTAAAAGCAAAAGGTAAGACAACAAGTTCAATGAATTGAATCATATTAAAAGTTTTATTCAAAAACAAAGCAATGCCTTTTTAAAAATGATGTGGATTAAGGATATATTTTAAATACCTGTATCCTTTAAATTACCAAAGGTTCTTATTCAAGACAAATCAATATTTTATTAAAAGTTAGTATTTATACTAAGAATGTGTTTTAAATGCCATACCTATTTAATTATTCTAAAACTAAAATCAACATGTAACAACTCCCCCTCTACTCCCAAGAGATTTACCCAGTAAATCTCATCAGTGAGGTTACTGTACAGAATAACTACTATAAGTCCAACAACCTGTTAGAAAATATTATAAATTTATCCACTAACACAGTGACATCTCATTAGAAGAGAAAATATGATAATGAGTATTATCCTACCTTAGTGTAGATGTAAATACATAACCATAACAAAACTAGACGATAGCTTAACCCAAATAATTACTCAAGACTAAACCACAAACTTAGTTCATTATCAATTTCATAATATTCCCTATTACACAGATTGCGCAACCGAATACATACTACATTCTTAAACTAACTAAACTACAAAAAGAATATCCCTTGCACTATGTTTGATCATCATTAGATTCATTATCGGACAGGACAAAATCTGAGTCGGGCGGATGAGATTTTAAATCTTTCACATGCCAAACACCTTTTTTTACATTATTACTGTCTACTAATAAATAAGTTACAGGAGAAAGTTTTTTATGAACTATAAATGGACCTACGAATTTAGGAGCTAATTTGGCAGTAAAATGTTTAGTAGCATCAGACAATACATAATTCTTATGAAACACTTTATCACCCTTTTGATATGAAATTGGTCGGCGTCTCAAATTATAACGAATTCGCGAACGCTCATGGACACGATCAAGACGTTTCCGAATGTCTTCATAAATTTTAGAAAATTCTTTGGATTTAATATTTGGAGGAATAGGCCTCTGAACCTCATCGTTATTTTGAAGATAATCGTACGATTTTCCTGAAGCGTGATATTCGTGACCGAAGTTAGCGAAGAAAGGAGAAAGTGCGGTAGACTCATGTACGGAAGATCGAATTGCACATCCAACTTTAGGTAGCAATTCATCCCATTTCCTGTGATTATCATCTATAAACGAGGAAAGCATAGTCTTTAATACTTGATTAACGCGTTCGACAGGGTTCGCTTGCGCGTGATAATAAGGAGTATACCTAATGTTAACTTGATACTGTTTACAAAGGGTTTGGAAAAGATCCGAACGAAACTGACCACCATTGTCACAAATCAAATATTGAGGTACACCGAACATAAGGAAAACATGGTCCTCGGTTACAGCTGTAATTGCCGCTCCAGTAGCATTTCTTAGTGGGAAAAACAACGAAAATTTTGTAAGTACATCAGTGACAACATATACATATTTAAAACCTCTTAAACTCCTTGGTAAAGGACCAAATATATCGACTGAAATCATTTGAAAGGGGACCTTAGGCTCGGGATGTTTTCCCAACTCTCCCGCGGGTAATTTACGTTCCGGTTTTTGTTGAAGACACACAAGACACTTCCTAACATAAGCAAGAACATCGGCTCGCATTTTGGGCCAATAAAAATGACCTTTTAAGCGTTCATATGTCTTGTATACACCAGCATGACAAGCTAACATGCTATCATGAAGTTCGGAAATCCAACGTTTCCGTTCAAAC